GAAATATACTAAAATATTTAAGAACAAAGGATTAGAAAATAATTATTTGCTAGGCAGTGATGTATGACTTTAATCCCAGCACTCGGGAGGCAGAGGCAGGTGGATCTCAGCGAGTTTGAGGCCAACCTGGTCTACAAAGCCGGGGCTGTTACACAGACAAACCCCTGTCTTGGAAAACTAATAATAATAACAACAAGTGATCTGGGGTGCCCAGCCTCAACTGATATATCTATGACATAACTCCTGTACCTAAGACTCAGGGAACATCACAGAAGAAAGGAACAGAGGCAGAGGACCAGAGAAGTTGCTGTGAGATTGTTTCCTAGAAATGATAGGGAAGCTTCGCCTCAACAATATGGTTGCCTAAACAAGACCCACAGAAACACACTAATAAACATGCTAACGTCGAAAGGGGAAATCTACCAGGGCCCCATCCACATACAAAGAACAACAGGCAACTAAGGGATGCTAAGAGTGGGAGAAACAATCTTCCCCAGGGATGGGTCTCTTAACTGGTTATTCAGACCCAAGTGGCCAGTCCTAACATCATATACACATAAGTAACACTAACGGACTGAGCAGTTTATTCCTACATATGTTTATGTATATGTAACAATAACAACTAAAGAAAAAGAGGTCATGATTTGAGGGGAGGGGTTTGTAGACAGGGTTTCTCTGTGTAGCTCTGACTGTCCTGGTACTCTGTAGACCAGGCTGGACTCAAACTCACAGACATCTACCTGCCTTTGCCTCTAGAGTGCTGGGATTAGAGGTGTGTACCACCACTGCCTGGCATAATTATAATTTAAAAAATTAAAAGCAATATATATCATATATACATCTACATATGTATCTTATATATAATAGATGTACATATTGTATGTATATATACACATCTATCTCTTATTGAGATAGAAAAAAGAGAAAATAAGAGTATGCTAAAGCAAATGTGGATACGGGTGACACATACATGAGATTTGGGGGTAATATTTTTTTTTTGCAATCATTTAAATCTGAAATTATTCCAAATTATAAAGTAAGAAATTCCCACAAGCATATAACATTTTAATTATTCCCTTCTAAATATATGTACATTGGTACTGTTGAGATGGCTCAGTAGTTAAGAGTTTGTACTGATCTTGCAGAGGACGTGATTTGGTTCTCAGCACAAATGGCATTGGCTCACAACCACTTCCCCAACAGATCTGAAACCTCTGACCTAGGAGGGCACCTGCAATCCCGTGTATAGACTGGCATACAGGCACACACATTGACACACTTATTAGAAATAATGAAATCAGTCTTCAACTGCACTTGATTTATGCAAATATGAAAAACAATTGGGACGGGTGGTGGTGGCGCACGCCTTTAATCCCAGCATTTGGGAGACAGAGGCAGGTGAATCTCCGTGAGTTCGAGGCCAGCCTGGTCTACAAGAGCTAGATCCAGAACAGGCACCAAAAACTACAGAGAAACCCTGTCTTGAAAATCAAAAAAAAAAAAAAGAAAAACAACTGGAACCATACAACATTCCTTTTTACTTTATACTTTTATTACGTTGGTACTGAATCATGAGCAGTTTTCAATATCATCTAAAACAATTTGAAGATAATTACTGGAGGCTGGAGAGATGCTCACTGCTCTTGCAGAGGACCAGGGTTCAGTTCCCAGCACCTACCTGAGGTTCTTAACAGCCATCTGTAAATCCAGGTACAGGTGATTTGATGCTCTCTGGCCTTCCTGGAAACCTGTATGCATATGGTGCACATAAACCCACACAGGCACACACATATGTATTAAAAAAAAGATTAATGGCTAGGAGATGGTGGCGCACGCCTTTAATCCCAGAACTCAGAAGGCAGAGACAGGCAGATCTCTGTGAGTTTGAAGCCAGCCTGGTCTACAGAGTGAGTTCCTGGACAGACTCCAAAGCTACTGAGAAACTTGAAAACAAAAACCAAACAAACAAAAAGATTAATGGATACACAATATTTTTGTGGAGATAATATAATTTACTTAATTCATTTTAAGTTATCCTCATATTTTTGTGCCAACATTTTATATCTCTCACATATAAATAATATTTTTATATTATTTTATTATATAATAAAACATACCTGATATATGTATATATATATCTTTATCTATACATATGGTTGCTTCTTTGGGGCTGGAGAGATGGCTCAGTGGTTAAGAGCACTGTCTGCTCTTCCAGAGATCCTGAGTTCAATTCCCAGCAACCACATGGTGGCTCCAAACCATCTATAAAGAGATCTGGCGCCCTCCTCTGGCGTGTGGAGGCAGAAAGTTGTATACATAATAAATAAATCTTCAAAAAAAAAAAGTGAATGATTGCACTTGTGTGGAGGTTAGACCCTGTGCAAGTCAAGCAATAACTTGGAGGTCTCAGTTCTGCTCTTCTACCATGTGGGTCCCAGATCATCAGGCTTGCAGGTGAGCACATTTACCCACTGAGCCATCTTGGAGGCTGCTTTGTTCTTTTTTTTTTTTTTCCCCGAGACAGGGTTTCTCTGTGGCTTGGAGCCTGTCCTGGAACTAGCTCTGTAGACCAGGCTGGTCTCGAACTCACAGAGATCTGCCTGCCACCACCGCCCGGCCCTTTTTTTTTTTTTTTGCTTTGTTCTTTTTAAAGTGACTATCAATACAAGGTCAAAACATATTTACTTGTATGTCTCTCTTATAAGATTGTGAGTGAGCCTGTGGGACAAGTGCTGTGTTTTAATCCTCTCTATATCCCTAAAATTGGTCTCAGCATGGGTATTGTTAGGCTGAACTAGTTAGCCTACATCATATCTGCTCAGTGACTTTTTAAGCCTTGCCTTCAATTTTCAGGAGCTAAAATAAGAATTCCCTTTGAGATGTGTAGCCCAGAACGGAACCTAGCCTACTGCCGACAGCTGTGATCGCTCACATCCTTCTTCCCTCATCAAATGCTGCCCAGAATCACACCTGAAATCCCAGTGTCTTGTAGAACTCACAAGCCCCAGAGCAAGCCAGAAGTCTGTTAAGCATCCTAAACTGAAAAAGGAACCTGGGGGCATCTGGGAGCTTGCTATGCCATCTTAGTGGCTTAGCTGTAGGTTGAGAAAGTACAGGGCTAAAACAAACACAGATGGGGTTTTATGTTTCACTTTCAACAAAATTTATATACTATATACGCTTGTACACAAATAAAAAATATTTATTATTCTTCCTTCCCTTCCCTCTTCCCTTCAGAAAACCTCTAATTTCTTCACCAAATATTCTAGACCAAAGGGGCAGCACTGAGTTGGAGGGGAGGAGAGTAATAAAAACAAAACAAGACAAAAACAAAAAAAAACCAAGAAGCAAAATTTGTTTGGCTTTGTGTCCAGTAGTGATAACAATTAAATATGATCCCCAGAATTTGGACTAGGCACCTGATGGATGATGACGTCACTGGTATCTCTGCTCTCCTGCTTGAAAAGTTTGAGATGGGACTATTGTGTATTGCCTATGTTGGGCTCCAAACTCCTGAACAATAGTGATCCTTTTGCTTAGCCTTTGAAATAAACAGATATATTGGTGGATACAAGCATGCCTGGCTTCACCTTAAGCTTAAAGAGCAAAGGAAATTCTAACAGGGATGAACCTAAACTCCCTGGAAAACATTCTTAGCACACTGGCTTTCTAAAGGAAGCTGATAGTATGAAGACAAAAGTGGGGAATTCTACCAGAAAAGGAATTATGATATATTTTAAAGTGATGGCAGAGTGGTGGAAATCAATACAAAATTGGGAGTGGGATAACCAAAACAATTTGGAAGGAGGAAGGAAGCGGGTCAGAGACAGGCCAGGAGCAGAAGAGAATCAAATGAGTAAGAAGATGGGAATATAGCCATGGGACGGAATGGTAGCAGACAACAGGATTTTTTTTTTTTTATTTGCTGATTGATTGACTGTGTGGGTACATGCAGGCCTCCTGTGGTAGCCGGTTCTCTTCTTCTACCATATGGGGTCCAGAGATGGAGCTCAGATCACCAGCTTGGCCCTTTACCCGCTGGGCCATCTGGCCAGCATATGACAAAAAGATTTCAATCAAACTCCTATCAAGCAGCCTCCATCAGCAACAGAGTTTGAAAAGGAGGGAAGAAGGTGTGAGGCAAGAAGAAACTGGTCCTGGGAACAAATGAATCATCCTCACGTAGTAGCTCCACCCTAGATGCCATGATTATTCATAAACACATGCAGGCTTTTCTGCAGTGTTAGTGAGCTAGGCTTGGAAAGGGCCGGGCGAATGCCAGGTTGGCAAACTGATCTGAATTAAAGGGCCCAATTCCAGATAGCAAATTTTATCAATAGTAACTTACTTGAAGCATGTTTTCTTAATATTTCACAAAGGACTGTTATCAGATGGGAGACTGGAGGAATCACAGTCTACTTCCAGCGTTTCCTTTGGTTGGATATACTTCACAAGGAAAATGGTGGTACCAAGGCACTAGACTCATGGAGATGTGAGGATGAATCAGAGTTTCCTCTGAGCCCTTTTCTGTCGTTACAAAATGGGGATAGTGGTTTTTTTTCTCTGTGGTGTGACTCAGAATGTGGCAAAGGAAGACTTGGGGCTGTGCAGGAACAGCTTTCATTGATGAGAGGAGAACTGCTAGGTTATATTTCTGGGGTGGCTGCTCAGTTATTACTTGAACAGTTCCTGAAGTCCTCGTGTAATTTTCTCACGATCCGTTACTATTACGCTATAATCTAAGGTAAGGGAAGATTGTTTATAATATTTTCATGCAGAAAATGCAGTGATTCTATTTTGATGCCTGCTATGCAGTAGACTGTCAAAGGATCCAGTGTATTAGGCTCTCTTCTTCGGTGGAAGATTATATAAATGCATTAGTGAGATTTAGGAACATTTCACTCAGACCAGGACACACACACACACACACACGGTAGGGGGAGTGAGGTGGGACAAACAAAAACAAATGGGTACAAATCAAGATGAAGAATGATGTTGTATTAGGTCGTTCTGGAGTCAACACAAATTGGAGCCGTAGGCCAGTCCTTTCATCGCTAACCTTCACAAGCAGCGAGGCGGGCAGGAGAAAACAGAGGTTCGAAATATTACGTAACTTGCCAGGGTCGTAAAACCATTCAGGATGTAACTGGAACCAATGGTATCAGGATCTGCCTGGCATCAAAGTCCTTGCTCATTCTAGCACAGCACCCAGAAGAAACAAACAAGCAAACAAAAACACTGTATTTGGGAATCTGGGGGACCAAAGGGATTTAGAAAATTTTCTCTTTTCCTATTTCCCTTCTGACAGTCTTTTGTGTTTGGTTGTGACGTTAGCTGTAGAGGCTGGGCAAGATCAAACAGGAGGCATTTGTAAACAAAATTATTGCACAGTCCTCAATACCCCCACAATTTCCCTCTTCCAGAGTCTGACCTAGGATTTGGTAAGGGTGGGTGGTGCAGAAGGCTGGAGAAGAGGTGGTGGCCGGGTTAGGTTAGTGAAGGGATGATTCTTTTCTTACCTTTAAGTTGTTTATCAGTTTCAGAACAACCCGTTGCTTATTCTCTTCTTTTGGTCAGCGTTTTATTTTTTTCCCCCTATTTTGGGGGGAAGGTTAAGGGTTAAGGGGTCCTGTAGCAAATTTCTGTAATGAATCTGCACAGTAGCTCCAAAAAAGTTAAGGTTAAAGATTATTCCTTTATCTGTTTTGGGAAGGGATCGTGCATGTGCTTTGAAAAAGATAAAAGGAAGATTTGTTCTGGGTCACTCTCCTTTCGTACCGACGCACGGAGGGGATTAGAAGGGACCCCCTGTTTCCATGAAAAATGAGCCGAGATTCCCTCACATTCCCGCTCGCGGGAGCGGGTTCGAGTGACAAGAGCATTCACGTACCTTCCGGAGGAAAGAAAGGTGCTGGGGTCTGACGGGGGTGGGGCGGGGGCAGCCGACAGCTTCCGGCTCCCGGGAAAGCCGCGTCAGGGGCGGGCCGCGGGCCGCGGGCGGCGCAGGGCGCACAGGGCCCCGCCACCCCTAGGCCGCGCTGCCTCCTCGCCTTCCCTGCCGCTCGTGCTCGGCGCGGCCGCCGCAGTCCCGGCGCCGTTGCGGGACGTGGGGTCCAGGGGGCGCTGTGGCCCAGTGGCGCGGGCGGCTGGAGCGGCCACCGCGGCGCCCGAGGCTTCGCCGAGCCCGTCCGCCCGCAGCGCCTCGGTCGTCCCGCCGTAGCCTGCGCCCCCAGACGCGCTCCACCGCGCTCCCCCGGACCCGCGTGGCTGAGGCGGCCCCGGAGCCGATGCGGCTGGAGGGACGCCGGGCCTCAGCCTCCGCCGCAGCGACCGCAGCCTCCTCAGGAGTGCGAGGTTTCGCGGCGGAGCCCTGCTGAGGAGGAGGCTTGCGGCGGAGGGACGACCCCCGGGCCATGGAGAGGCGGTGAGTGTGGCGCGCCGCGGTGCGGGGCTCGCCGGCTCGCGCCGCTCAGGGGCCCTGCCGCCAGCTATCGGGCCGGGCGGACGGAGCGTCCTGGCACTGCGGCCGCCGCGGGCACCCCGCGGCTCTGGGGCCTCGGCCCTTTTTCTGTGGGTCCCCCGGGAGGCTGGAGGTGCGCGGTGGGCGAGTAGGCCCCGCGATGCCGAGAAGCCCTTGCCCGGGCCTGGGTTCCGGCGTGGCCGGGTACGTGAAGACCGGGCTGGCGGCCGCACCGGTGCCCTTCGCGTTTGTCCCGGGCGGGGCCGAGCGTGCCTTCCTTCCCAGGGCCCTGCGTACACGTCCCGGAGGGAAGCAGAGGACGCTTGTTTGCAAACAGCTTTGCTTCTCTGTGCCCAGGACTGAGTCCTGCGGAGCCACCCCCTGGGTGGGGAGTGGGGAGTATTGAGGTACAGAGAGTGCGGGTCCCCGAAGCCCCTGGTACTCCAGGACTAGCATTCACGCCTCTCCTGCTAGAGACACAGCCTTTTGCGTCTTATTTGAGGTGAAATTTCATCACCTGCCGCAGGCTCATCCTTTCCGTCTTATGTTACATCTCGTCTCTGAGCGAGGTCTGCCTTGGAGAAAGCCCCATCCCATCTTTGCCATGCTAAGTTTCCTAGCTGAGCTCCTACAGTTTAAAAAAAAAATCTTTTCTGAATACGTCTTTTCCACCTTCAAAGAGACAGGAAATGTTTTAATGCTTCAGTCCTTGTTACAAAAATGTTCCACCCAAATAAGGAACGGATGGCTAGAGAATTTCAAGTCGAGCTAATTATCCTAATAACAAGGGCCTGACAGAAATGGGATAGAGGCTCAATTGTTAAAGGAAAACGATTTGTTTTGTTCCGGTAATATTGTAAAAAAAAAAAAATGATACCACAAGTCAGTATTGGGTGCTTCTTGTTTATGATAAATGTGATTACAGGTTATTCTTCATTTCCTATTATATAGGACTTATGTGTACATCTAGAACTTTGATTCATGAAAATATGTATATACAGTAAAAATTTTGCACACACGGAGAGGTACCGTATCGGCTTTCAGTACGTATTTAATAACCAGAGAGAGAGAGAGAGAGAGATCACTGATAATGTCATAGTACATTTTGATGGTCATTCAACGTTTAAAGTGAGATTCTAGTGATGGTGACTTGTAAAATTATTATTTTTATCAGTAGTAGTAGTAGGGTTAAATTAAAATGCTGACTGGTTCTATTTACAGCCAGGCATTTGTTTAAAATTTATAAAATATGTTGCTCCCTACCTGAGAGAAAGCCATCAGTTAGTGTGTAGTTACTTTCCAGACTCCTCCTGTCTTAACCTGCCTGTCCAGCACAGGAACCTCCAGAGATCTAAGGAGGTTCAGTGTGGTGAAGAATTTTGAGGATCCAGCGTGTTAGGTGTTTTACCCGTGCTTTGGTCAGCTCTTGTGTAAGCATTTGTAACTGGAAAAAGTTGCCTTGACTAGGTATTTTGGTGAATTTAGGTTTTAAAAGTCTGATCTTTCCAGAGCGTGTCTCTAAAGACCAGTATTAGAATCAGTTGGGAGTGTGTTGATTAAAAATATGGTTTTTGGTCCCCTACCTCCGAACTGTGGTGACAACAGTAACCCAAAGACCGTGATGTTCATCACCCGTCCTGATTCTTAGCACTACTACATTTGAACATCTCGTAAACGTTAAACGAGACTGCTTAGGTGAACAAACGTATCGGCTCTCTAGCAAAACTGTCTTAAGTGGCTTTTCCTAGCTACAAATAATGGTTTTATAATGCAGATAGAAAAACTGTGTTTTGAGGGACAGCTGTTTCAGTCGACGAGCATTGAGAGCCTGCTATGGTCTTGTTAAGGAAGGCTATCTAGGCATTCATCTTGGCAATTAATAAACTTTAATATTGTCTGTAAAATGTGGTTGGTATTATACTTAATTTGGAAGGCTTTAGGAGACAGCCACCGAAGAAAGTATTATAATGTATAAAATTTTTAACAGTTTTAGCTATTAGTACAGGTTCTGTTTTAGTGCTCTGGGAAATACAAAAATGACCAAGGCTTCTGCTAGCAATTGGCTAATTGTGGAAGCAGGACAGGTTTAATGAACTGTTACAAGACTGGGTCAGAAAGGTGTTGTAATTGAGTAAAATGAGCTAGATCTCTGCTAGGTTTCTGTGTCTCATCCAGTATCTGGCCCTTCAGGAGCATTGGTAAGGGATGGGAGGTCACTCAGTGGAAGAGGACTTGCTTAGAATGTACGAGCCCCTCGGTTTAATTCCCAGAATTGGGGGAAAAAAATCACATGCAGTATTCCTTTCTTTTCCAATTCCTGATTCAGTGTTTTCCTTAAAGAAATAATGGCATATGTTGCCTGGAAAGTACTAGTTTTATATTAACTCCTTCGTGATGAAAGAACAAATGAATGGGTTGGGATGGTCCCATTTCCTCTGTTGCTAAGCTACCATTTTTATTCCATGCGCTAAAGTTTGTTTGGCTCCTCTTATGTACTGGCCACAGACTGGCTGGTTGCAAGGTACAATGTTTGATTAAAAGAATTTCCTAGATTTTAATTCAGTTTTTTTTTTTTGTTTCAAGGAGGTGGTACATACGTGTTTTATGGTTTTTAATTGCATTGCGTGCTGTGGTGCAGAGATGGAGTCAGATATGAACAGGAATCCTTTCTGCATCTCTTAGAGCAATGTGACACTTATGTTCTGAGCTCCTTACAGTCTCTTGGAGTAATGGTACCCCTCCCAGGGAAGTAGAACGTTTCTATGAGATGAAGTGATCGTAGACACTGCAGAGACATGTTCATTTCTATTCTTCCTTTTGGGGAAAAATAAAAATAAAAACCAGATCTTGTATATCCTGTGTGGCTTAAAACTTGGTAGCTTGATTTATTTATTTGAAACTAGTTCTGCTTTGGGATTTTTTTTTTTAAATTTGATGGAAAAAATTTAATACTACCAAGTGCACACATTTTCCACCTCATCTTTTGTTTAATAAACTAATATTCTGATTGCCTAAGATATACTTGTTTGTTGATTCACTTTAAGTTTTACATTACTCTGTGTGTTTGGCCTGCGGTGTGTTAATTACTATATAGAGTGTCATTCTTTTTTTTTCTTTTTTTCTTTTTTTTCTTCTTTTAGTGTTTTGAGACAGGGTTTCTTTGTGTAGCCCTGGCATTTCTGGAGCTAACTCTGTAGACCAGGATGGCATCAAACTCACAGATCCACCTGCCTCTGCTGGGATTAAAGGTGTGTGCCACCACTGGCTGGCTGTAGAGTGTCATTCTTAGTATGTAGTGATAATAGGAAAATACTTAGTTACAGATACTGAGCAGAAATAGTTCATGGGTTTTGTTTAGTTTAAGAACTGAGGAATATTATTCAGAACATAGACTTTCCCTTATAATCTGTAGTGATGAGAATCAGAGTTCTTATAATTTATCATGTGTAATATTCCAGTCTTGTAACCTGTTACAACCTTGAACAGTCTGTTTACACTTTTTAAGTCTTAATTTATTCTTCTATAAAACAAAGCTAATATTACCCACTTTGTAGGATTATTACAAGGATTAAGTGATATATAAATCAGATATATAGTTCTGTTCCATGGAAAATAAGCATTACTCTAGAAATGGAAAATATATTTGAGTTTTGAAAAAGTTTAAAAGATCATTAATTATTTATATGGTTTTCTGCTAAGAAATAAAGCTAGCATGATCGATTGTAAAGCACTGCCAATTAAGGATGAGACAAGTTTGCCTGTTAGTATTTTGATTATATAGCTAATAGAGTGTCTATATTTTATTATAAATTTATTTAATGAAATAATTTAAAAATGCTTTTTATTTATTTTTATTGAGCTCTACATTTTTCTTTGCTCCCTTCTCTGCCTCTTCCCTCCTCTTCAACCCTTCCCCAAGGTCCCCATGCTCCCAATTTACTCAGGAGATCTTGTCTTTTTATACTTTCCATATAGATTAGATCTATGCAAGTCTCTCTTAGTGTCTGCATCGTTGTATAAGTTCTCTGGGATTGTGATTTGTGTGCTAGTTTTTTTTTTTTGCCTTATGTTTTAAAACCACTTATAAGTGAGTACATGTGATAATTGTCTTTCTGTGTCTAGGTTACCTCATTCAAAATGATGTTTTCTAGCTCCATCCATTTTCCTGCAAGATTCAAGATGTCGTTTTTTTCTGCTGTATAGTACTCCATTGTGTAAATGTACCACATTTTCCTTATCCATTCTTGGATTGAGGGGCATTTAGGTTGTTTCCTTCTGGCTATGACAAACAAAGCTGCTATGAACATAGTTGAACACATGTCCTTGTGGCATGATTGAGTATCCTTTGGATATATACCCAAAAGTGGTATTACTGGGTCTTGAGGAAGGTTGTTTCCTAATTTTCTGAGGAAACGCCACACTGATATCCAAAGGGGTTTTACTAGCTTGCATTCCCACCAGCAATGCAGCAGTGTTCCTTTTACCCCACATCCTCTCCAGCATAAGTTGTCACCGCTGTTTTTGATCTTGACCATTCTTACAGGTGTAAGATGGAATCTCAGAGTTGTTTTGATTTGCAGTTCTCTGACTAAGGATGTTGAGCATTTCCTTAAGTGTCTTCAGCCAGAAAATGCTATTTATAAAACAGTTTCTATTTTATAAATTAGATAGTACTTTAAAATTTTTTCCTTTTGAAACAGGGTGTGATTTAGTCCAGGCTAGCCTAGAACTTGCAACTGTAACAGGCAATGATTTTGAACTTCCGATCTTCTCATCTCTATTTCCCAAGTGATTGGATTATAGCCATGAACCACTATGCTTGGCTTAAATTATTTTAAATAGTCCAATTTACAGAAATGAACTATTATAAAATTTGAATAGTATGTGTATGTTTGTATTTATACCTTTTCAAAACTTTTGGGAAAATAAGATAAAGGTAAAATCTCTAAGGGTATTCATTAAAGTCAAGAAACAGTTTTTCGAGTTTCTGTTACACAAGGGGAAAGGAATTTCATGCCTTTGACAGGACTCTAGAAGCCATGAAGATCTACAGCACTAGCTGTAGAGATGTTAGAGGGGAAGATGAGAGCACATACATTCGGCCACATTTAGAATACTAAGGAAGGGTCTTTTTCATGGTCTATGTCTTGAGATACAATTCACATACACATAGTTTAACCATCTAAAGCATACAATTTAATGGCTTTATTTATTTATTTATTTTACGGAGTTGTGTAAATGTTACTACTCTCTTTTTGGAACATTTTCATTGCTTCAAACTGGTATCCGTTAGCAATCACCCCAATATCTTCCTAATCTCCCAGACCTGGGCAGACACTAGTGGGTTTCTCTTCTAAAGAATTCCTAGCGGTTCTGAACAC